AACCTGGTGTTGAACACTGCCAGGGATGGAGCATTCACAACCTCCCTGGGCAACCCCTTCCAGTGCCTCACCAGGCTTACAGTAAAGAACTTCCTCCTTATATCCAATCTAAACTTCCCCTGTTTAAGTTTTAACCTGTTACTCCTTGTCCTGTCACTACAGTCTCTAATGAAGAGTCCCTCCCCAGCATCCTTATAGTCCCCCTTCAGACACTGGAAGGCTGCTATGAGGTCTCCACGCAGCCTTCTCTTCTCCAGGCTGAACAGCACCAACTTCCTCAGCCTGTCTTCATACAGGAGGTGCTCCAGTCCCCTGATCATCCTCATGGCCCTCCTCTGGACTTGTTCCAACAGTTCCATGCCCTTTTAGTGTTGAACTGTACACAACACTCTGCACACAATACTCCAAGTGAGGTCTCACGAGAGCAGAGTAGAGGGGCAGGATCACCTCCTTCGGCCTGCTGGTTATGCTCCTTTTGATGCAGCCCAGGGTACGGTTGGCTTTCTGAGCTGTGGGCGCACACTGAAGCCGGCTCATGTTCATTTTCTCATCAATCAACACCCCCAAGTCCTTCTCCGCAGGGCTGCTCTGCATCGCTTCTCTGCCCAACCTGTAGCTGTGCCTGGGATTCCTCCAACCCAGCTGTAGGACCTTGCACTTGGCATGGTTAAACCTCATAAGGCTGGCATCAGCCCACCTCACAAGCATGTCAAGGTCCCTCTGGATGGCATTCCTTCCCTCCAGGGTATCAACCGAACCACACAGCTTGGTGTCATCGGAAAAATTGCTGAGGGCGCACTCAATTCCACTGTCCATGTCAGCGGCAAAGATGTTGAACAAGACCGGTCCCAACACCGATCCCTGAGGGGCACCACTCGTTACTGGTCTCCAGCCGGACATTGAGCCATTGACCACAGCTCTTTGTGTGCGGCCATCCAGCCAGTTCTTTATCCACCGAGTGGTCCATCCATCAAATTGATGTCTCTCCAATTTAGAGACAGGGATGTCGTGTGGACAGTGTCAAATGCTTTGCACAAGTCCAGGTAGATGACATCAACTGCTCTATCCCTGTCCATCAGTTCTGTAGCCCCATCGTAGAAGGCCACCAAATTGGTCAGGCAGGATTTCCCCTTAGTGAAGCCATGCTGGCTGTCACCAAGCACCTTGTTGTTTTTCATGTGCCTTAGCATGCCTTCCAGGAGAATCTGCTCCAAGATTTTGCCAGGCACAGAGGTGAGACTGACTGGTCTGTAATTCCCTGGGTCATCCATTTTCCCCTTCTTGAAAATGGGGGTTATATTTCCCTTTTTCCAGTCATTGGGAAATTCACCTAACTGCCCTGATCTTTCAAATATGATGGCCAGTGGCTTAGCAACTTCATTTGCCAGCTCCTTCAGGACCCTCAGATGGATCTCATCAGGTCCATGGACTTGTGTGTGTTCAGGTTCTTAAGATGGTCTTGAACCAGATCCTCTCCTACATTGGGCCCAAGGTCTTCATTCTCACAGTCCCTTTGTCTGCCTTCCAAGACTTGGGTGGTGTGGTCAGAGCATTTGCCAGTGAAGAGTGAGGCAAAGAAATTGTTAAGAACCTCAGCCTTCTCCAAATCCAGGGTTGCCAGTTCTCCTGATAGCTTCTGGAGAGGGCCCACGTTGTCCCTAGTCTGTCTTTTATTTGCACTGTACCTATAGAATCCCTTCTTGTTATCTTTCACATCCCTAGCCAAGTTTAATTCTAACTGGGCCTTAGCTTTCCTAACCTGGTCCCTAGCTTCCTGGACAACATCCCTGTATTCTTCCCAGGGCCATATGTCACATTATGGGGCGGGTGGGGGGTGGTTTTGCACATCAACAAAGTAAATTGCATACTATTTTATACCCTGTATCATAATACAAATGTAACACGGTGATTCCTGGGCTAGCACATGGTTAGGCACATACAGTGTGAGAGAACCATGTTTTGGATGTGGTTAATAAAAGGCTGTAGTACACATTCTCAGACAGGCAAACACAGCTCAGTATGTTTTTCTTTTAAGAAAGCTCATAACGAAACGTTAATATTCTTGTAACACAACACAATGAGTGCAAGGTTGGGATTCCCCCCCCCCCCGAAACTTTCTACTGATTAAAAAAGAACTTCATGTTCTGGGATTCTGAAGTGTTATCAATTTGAAAAGTGAAGGCAAAATACACATAACTTTTTTGATAGAAACTGCCCAGTCAGTAGCTGTCCTGTCCCATTCACCTTTGGAGCTGAAATACACCTGACTGGGGGAAATTCTTTTCTGTTTCTGCACTTTTTTTTTTTTTACTTAATTATTTTCTTTACCTAGTCTTATATTCTGCTATCCACTTTTGTAAGTGCTCACAAATTAAGTAGGGCTAAAAATGAGGAGGAAGATTTTCTTGAACCGAATGTGGTGCTCCTACATTTCATCTCGTTATAATTACAGATGAAACTTGCACTTTTATACAACTGCCTTTTTCCAGAAACCTCACAGAAGGAGAAGTCCACCTTGACTCTCTCGAGAAGGTACCACTCTAGTTCTTCTATTTCCAGTCTTGCCCATGCCACTACAGTAGCAGTCTCCAGACTTTGTTAGAGAATGTTTCTTTATTTACAATAGAGTGCTTAACATAAAGTGACGTTAAAGTGGATGGTGATGGAGTGTTGAAGTGTGCTGACCCCCTGAAATGGGCAAAGCTGCTCTAAACCCAGGACTATTCTAATTGCACCATGCAGGAAGAAACTCTGATTTCTCAGCAATGTGAATACTGCTGTAAGGCTGTATTTGTGGCTGGAGACTTGTTTCTGAGGGTAGAATCTTCTGGCTTCATTATACTTGAGTTTAAAATAAATGCAATCAATCCTTCCCCTTTTTAAAAAAACTTCATAAAGCTGACATAACATTTCTTGTTTACAATATTGATGGGAAACTGAGTTTGTAACTGCATAATTACAAAACATGAAACATGACTAGAAATGTCTAGATTTTACTAGTAAATCCCCCTTTTTTTTTTTTAGGTCTTAATGCAAAGAATAACATCTAACAAATTTCCCGTCACTCTGATTTTGACATTTGTGAATCCATGTTGTTGCAGTAAGGCTCGATATTCAGAGCCACTTCTCTCCTTTCCCTCTGTCTGCACAAGCATGTTCAAAGACTGCAGCAGAGCTGTGCTCCTCTTCTCATCATCCAGTACCATTTCTGCCAGCAAAATCTCACAGCCTAATTTAAAAACAAAGGCATGCCACAATACTAATGCATTACCAGACAAGAGAATTTCTGCTATCGTATGTAAGGATGCAAACTACCAGGTGCAGGTGATTTCATTTATAATTTCTATGGATTTGCTCTCCTATAACTAATCCACCATTAAATGCATAATCCACTCCCCTCTAACAAAACCCAGGAAATTCCCTTCCACACTACGGAGGGATGAAACACTCACAACTCAAGTCACCTCTCTGTTTTTAGGGGAAGAAGGGATGACTTCTTGTAGACTTGGCATGACGGTTATGAAAAACAATAAGACAGGAATAGTAGCTATTTCTTTTGGGGATATATTGCTGCTCCCTATTCATACTGAAGTGTTGCCAAGCAGACAAAAGGGTGGATGACAAGCATTATAGAAGCAGAGAAAAAGTCAGTATTATTGTTCATTATTTCTGTAGGAACTGAGGCCTTTGTGGTGTGACTAACATAGGGGTGTAATATCCTGCCAAAAGATGAGGGAGAGTGAAGAGAATGCCAGCCCTCCAAAAACTGGTTTTTAAGAACAAAACCAAACCCTACATTAAATACTTCTACTATCCATCAGTCAGCTAACACATCCAAAAATGAACTCACAGTCCATACAAAGGGGCTTAGCCATTAAATAGCTATTCTCAAGCTTTTGTGCTGGGTAGCTCAGATGACATACTACCCTTTGTTTCTGTTCCATTCCTTTTCCAGCCAGAACTACTGTTAATAGCTGTAACAAGGTCAAAAACTGATATAAAAATGATTGTGCTGGGACAGCCAACCAAGTTGTGTCTCTTCTTTCTTACAAACTTCTCTGTTTTCCTCAAGGATTCTTACCTCAGCATTCAGTGAACAAGTGCTGCAGTTCTTGTTTCTATTACTCATCTATCATTCCGTTAACCCTCATGTCTCAAGGACAGGAATTCCACAACTTCTCTGGGCAATGTGCTCCAATGCTTAATTGTCCTGAGAGTGCAAAGCTGTGGTGCATTACCAGACACCATGGCCAAAAGAGTAATGCTTAACGTGTATTACCGTTGTGCTTTAATCACAGACTATGTTGAGGCTGTATGGTAGCCAGGCACATTCTATTCAAATTTTACAGTCGGATATATAGTACTTAGAGGCACAGTTGTAAAGTCTGTGACAGCTACAGGTGTGCCAACGTTAGGATTGAAATTTTCTGACTCAGTTTATAGCAGCTTAAAGAATAGCATTATAAACTAAATTAATAATTATGACATGAGAAAACATCTGATTGCTGGAATGAGTCTCTCTCAAAATACAAGCCTGTTAAGCGTAACAGCAAGTTCCACGTCAATACAGAAAAGACATTTAAAATTAATTCAGCTATTGAATATTTTGCCTTATCTCTTTAAATGTCTGTATAGATGTGATCAGTCGAATTTCCATTCATAAAAGCCTCCTGCCAAGAATAAAGCCCCAGTGATGTAAAAGTCTGGCATTTCCCTGATTTTACGGAGCTGAAATGTTCTGCAGTAAGCATACTTCTCATGATGAACTGAATCACTGTGGCACTTTCACTTTGCTCAGTGCTCAAAGTGCAAAGTAACTTCTCATTAAGTAATGTAAGAGAAGAGTCTGCCAGGCAGATGAGTGACCTTTGCTCATCAACTCCTTAACTGGCTGAGGTTCATGATTCAGCAGAGGCATGGCCACTCTCACACTGGCTTATTGGGGTTATTGCTGTAGAAGTGTGACAGGCGAGAAACTCACAACTGATAGCAAAGAAAGCTAGTCTGAAAGTGCAACTTTAATCTCTAGGAAGGCTTCCACTACAAAGTACACTTTAAATAGAAAAAAAAAATACAATAATGAAGTACCGGGGAAAACAAGCAACCAACAAAATGTTAGGAAATGTGACATTAGTGACAAATTACTTGAAGAGATGGGATAACAGTACATACTTCTCCAACTAAAGACTGGAAGAACATGAAGAAACTTCTATTTTAAATTTTTGTAACAATTTACACATAAATCCTAAAACTCAAGTAATGAGTCAGAAAACATATATGGCCATTTAACCATATTTAGAAAATCCCAAAACTGACAGGAACAGGTTTTACTACAGCCTGCGTGGGTGCATACTATGGCTGAAGTTTCTCTGTGACATTATAGATGCTGTAGGAATATGTTTGAGCTTCGTCCTATTTTCACTTTTGCTTGTGGATAAAGTGCTTAAAAAAGAGAGCACCTTTGAGTTGTTTTTGAGGGAAGCCCCACAGAAAAGTGAAAAAGAGGACAAGCATCCCTGAATTCAGACAGATGGTGCAGTATTCACTTTTTTTTTATTATTTCTAGTAAAAATGAGCAGTAACCACTGAATATACTGCAGAGGGAGAATTCTCTTTAATTTCAAGGTTGAGGAAAACAAAGGTATTAATGTGACTCATAAAAGCTTTTAGTTTTAACTTGCCATGCAATACATTTAGACAGCAAGTCTGAGCTTAATACAGTCTGCAAACTAGCCAAGATAACTGGACATGAACATATTTAATACATAGGAGTTTTGGTCAGACAATTCTTAAATGCATAGAACTCACTCCTGCAGAAGCTAAGTCCAACTTTTATTCAAGGCCTATAACAACTATTCCTTAGATAAAGGGTCAAAACTATCCTAAACTGACAGTATGTGCTGGCTGATGAAGGGTACATTGCACAAGTGTTGTAAAAACTCAGCATCTCAGTCTGCTTCTGGGCACACTATGGTGACAAGGTCTGGAAGCACAAAACAACATCCAGTAAATTTTCTGTGATTTTAATTTGTACATTTGTAAATCCATGTTTCTCTAGCAGCTGTTTATATTCTGAGCCACTTCTTTGCTTGCCTTCAGTCATGCTGAGGGACTGTAGTACAGCTGTAGGAGGGCATGTCTTCTGTTCGTCAAGCACACTTTCTGCCACTAGCAAGGCACTTCCTGCATTTTCAAAACAACCCAAAGTGGTTCAGTAAAGTATTTCTAGCTTCAGGTTTTCAGTGTTTTGTTCAGAGATGGTTTCAGAGGACCTTCACACTAATGTTTTAATGGTATTCAGTGGGAATCAGTTACAGAATTTTACTTTCAATAATCTCTTCCTGGAAGCAACCATTTAATTGTTAAAAGGAAGGGGGGAGTTTAGAGCACTGTCTTCACTTCAGTGAAGTTCAGATCACTTTTTGACTATGATCTTAAACTAAGTTGTGTTTCCATTTGTACTAAGCAGCTCCTGTAAGCATCTGTCATACCCCCATTTTTGCATAAGATTAAGACAGTAACCCACAATTATCTTTTTTTTACCCCCCTCCCCCCCAAATGGGATTATGCTTTATGGCCTAGATCTAATTCTGAATGCTTCTTACAAAACAAACCTTATAGCTAGTTAATCCTGTTGGATTAAAGAAGCAGCTAATCTTAGCAGTATAGGCTTTTCTACTTTTTGTAGTCTTTGATCTTTAGTACTGTGCAAACATGAGTCAGTGTGCCATAGCAGCCAAAGCAGCTAACTGTATCCTGGGGTGCATCAAGCACAGCATTGCTAACCACTGTACAGTGCACCGGTTCAGACCCACCTCAAGTACCATGTGCAGTTGTGGGCACCTCAATATAGAAAGGACATCAAACTACTAGAGGGTGTGCAAAGGAGGGTGACCAAAATGGTGAAAGGCCTCAAGGGCAAGACTCAGGAGTGGCTGAGGTCTCTTGACTTGTTCAGCTTAGAGAAGAAAAGGCTGAGGGGAAACCTTATCACAGCCTAAAGTTTCCTCAAGGGGAGCAGCAGAGGGGATGGTACTGATCCCCTCTCTCTGGTGGCCAGCGATAGGACACAAGGAATGGAATAAAGCTGTGTTTAGCTTTATTTCATTTTTTATTAGTAGGTATTAATATAATGCAAGCACAGATGTTCAAGCAAAGACTACTATGATTGGACAGAAAAAATACACCTTTTTAATATGAACATCTAATGATTACTTATTATGTTTATGCATTAACATGTACCTTTAAACCCACAAAATGAAAAAAACTTACCTGGTTTGCAAACAGCTGCTATCTTGCTTAAAAGCACATGTACCTTTTCATCAGGCCAGTCATGAAGAACACGTGAAAGGATATAAAGATCTGCTTCTGGAAGATTATCCTTGAAGAAGTCACCTGTTGGAAAGCAGAGTTAGTACATTCCTGCAGAAACCACAGAGGACATTCCTACAAAATGAAATTAAAATACTGCAGAGAAACAAGGAGCTTCAGCAGAGGTAAAGAAAGAAACAAGAATGAACAGGTATAGGTATGCACTGATTTGCAGATAGGAGAGCATAGTTAAAGAGAATAGCAAAACACAGGTAAGAATTTCATAACACATAAAAATGAGGAGAAAGCCTAAAGCAAGGAAGGAGACATTCAAATCTTTTGTAGCCACCATGTTGATCTTGCTTAGAAAATAAAAGCCTGAGATAAGGACATGGAGCCTCTGCTCCCAGTGGTACTGAAAGCATTACTAATTCATACTTCCTTATTTATCCACATTTTCCAACCGTAGCCAGGCTTTTTACTCTCACGGGTTTGAGAAATACAATGTCCCCATTTAGCATGGGTAAGCATGCATTGCCTTGTACTAAGACAAGTCAGATTGGAGCAGGGTAGCAGACCAGTTTCTGCAGCAGAAGAGCCTGCGCTGTGCTCTAGGATAACAAAAATAAGACAAAAGATCACGTGTTACATTTACCTGATACAAATGTTACTGGAGCTGTGTGTTGTGCAGAAGGCTGAAAGTAAGAGGTGTTTGCAATGACTTCTGGAAGGTCAAATACTGTGACTTTGAGATTTGGGTATATTTGTACTAATTCATGAGCTAGAGCTCCAGTGCAACCTGTTGAAAGTTTAAAAAAGTTAAATCAAGTCTTTTCTCCCAGAATTTGCAGAAATTTTTAAAGACAAGGCTGTATATAACACTAAAATAGAGACATCAAATCAGAATTAAAACTACACACAAACCAAACCAATTCTAAAAGAATCAACTTTTTGTTCTAGCAGTGTAGTGTTTCAACTTTGACACCCCCAATACAGAAGCGTTCAGAAATAAATCCTTCATTACTTTTGAAAGTCTTGCACATGCTAATGGACAGCAACAACACAGCTTAAAACGGAGCTCCCAGCCCAATATTCTATCATCTGAGCCACAAATCTTGTTTTCTGTGTTGAGCAGTGTCAGTAGGTAACTGATTGTGACAAACACTCACTTACTTCAAACTACTCAAACACCATTTAAGTAGCTCTGCTTTCAGTTAACTACACTTAACCATTTTATCCTGACATTACCATACCAGCAAAATAACAGTAGACAATAAGACTGCAGTTTTAGTAAAAAAAAATACACATATGTTTTAAGTAATAAAATAAGTAATAAAATATGGAACTAAAATCAAGCTTTTCCCTTAAATTCATATTAACGTTCAATTACAGGCAATACCTCCTAAATCACAAGCAGATTTAAACCGTGAAAGATCAAATGCTGTAGCCACGTCTCTTGCTGTTAGGTGGGCAATGCTGTGCATGGCAGCCATAAAACGTTGCTTCACTTCCTGGCTGTGATAATAGTCCTAAAAAGAGAAAAAAAGCCCACAGTAATTGAAGTTTAGTTTCATGACTTAATTAAAACTATGTACAACCAAAGCAGTAGTTGCACACCATTAACATTAGAATTCTAAAATTAAAAGTGCCTTTGACTAATTGCTCATCCAGCTTCTTTGCTGTTTCACTGTAGTGATACTAACATTAGGCTAACAGGACCTTAATTTCCAAAAGCCCTTATTTCCTTTTATCAACTGTGTATGAGGGATGTAGACATCTCCTCTAGCAGACTGGCTTCTTCAGCATCTAGAAGATTAATACAAATTAAGAACCTCAGGATGTAGTCTGAAGTACACAGTACACTTTTTAGCCAGCTCTGCTGTCAGAGGTGAAGTTCTGACACTATCTGCTCACTCTACTAGCCCTCGCCTTAACAGGCACAAATATTTATGCCCCTCAACCTGCTTCACCAAGTGGCTAATTGACACATCTGCATCAACTCAAAGTGACTTTGAAAACAGCTCTGATTATGCAGTCAACACAGACTGAACTGAATACACAACAGCATCAAAGTGAATGGCATCCTACGTGGAAGGAGTGAATGTGTGATTAGGTACTACTACCTGGTGTTACAAAGGGACACGAACATAAACAGGCCCAGAGGTTGTTCTGAGGGTATGTTAGCTGGTTGGGCAACACCTTAGCCAGAGAATTTTCGTCAGCACTCAAATTTCCCAGTACATTCTGTGATTGCTCCAGACTTTAGAGTCTAAAGTTGACGAGAACAGAAGTCAACTTTCATAGATGGCCCAGTCTCCATTTGCCTCTGGATCAGTTCTGGGCTCCTCACAGATAGTTTTGATCCTAATGAGAGTTTATATTACCTTAAATAAATCCTCTGCTTTCTTTCCAAAGGCTCGATGGTTCTGCCTGCTTCCTTCTTTGACAGCAGACTCCAGGTATGTGAAGAGAGGCCAAAGGTGGTCATTAGAGTGGATAATGTAGCCATGAAGTGAGTATTCACCATCTGATGTCAGATACGTATTTGTTGAATCTGTATTACTGTACCCTTATGGGAAGAAAACAATTGTAACCAGGCTTTGTTTCAGTATAACTGTTGCTTAGAATCTGAAGGCATGTCGTCCTGCATAGCTGTTAAATAGCAAGCAAATCCTGATGTTATCTTTACTGGGCAAATATTTATATGAAATAATTCTAATAGTCTTCTTAAAGGAGCAAGTACTTTGTTTATAAAAAAAGAATTTAGATACTGGATGATACAGATAGGCTTTTTTTTTTTTTAATTTTATTTTTAACCAGAGTAGCTCATTTAGACACCTAATATTTAATGGAGAGTACTATAAGTTCCTCATTCTTGGCTGCATTTTGCTTTAGATTACAGCTTCTCCTTCCCTTAGTTCAAGTTTTCTCCAATATGTTTTGCCTTCAGGGCTTTCTCCTTGGTCTTGTCCTCTAACAGAGTTGAAAACCTGCTTTGTTTCCTTTTCCTGACACTACCATTTCAAGTGTTACTATGTAAATGATGCATATGTAAACTTATAACTACATAGAGTGGAATGGAAGAGTTAATTCCAATTCCCTCACCTATATACACCTTCAAGCACTGTTCCAGTTAGGAGCACTAAAATTTACGTTGTTGTCCATGAAAACGGACACATTCCAGAGCATTCCTTGTAAAAACCCTGATTCACTGCTGAGGACTGTGACTCTGTATTGCTGCATCAGGGAATGGAATGTGGTCCTTATTTTAGACAGAATCATAGGATCATTTAGGTTGGAAAGACCCCCAAGATCATCAAGTCCAACCGTCACTCCAGGACTGCCGAGACCACCACTAAATCATATCACTGAGGACCTCATCTGTATAGTTTTTAAATACTTCCAGGGATGGTGACTCCACCACTTCCCTGGGCAGCCTGTTCCAATGCCTGTGAAGAAGATTTTCCTAATACCTAATCTAAACCTCCCCTGGTGCAACTTGAGGCCATTTCCTCTTGCCCTATCACCTGTTACTTGTGAGAAGAGACGGATACTGACCTTGCTACAACCCCCTTTCAGGTAGTTGTAGAAAGCGGTAAGGTTCCCCCCTCAGCCTCCTTTTCTCCAGGCTAAACAACCAGTTTTCTCAACTAATCCTCCTCAGCCTTGTGCTCCAGGCTCTTCACCAGCTCTTTTGCCCTTCTCTCACTCCAGCACTTCAATATCTCATACTGAGGGACCCAGAACTGAACACAATATTCAAGGTGCAGCCTCACCAGTGCTGAGTACAGGGGGATGATCACCTCTCTACTCCTGTTGGCCACATTATTGCTGATACAAGCCAGGATGCTGTCGGCCTTCTTGACTGACTGGGCACACTTCTGGGTCATGTTCAGCGGCTGTCAAGCAGCACCCCCAGGTCCTTTTCCACCAAGCACCTTTCCAGCCACTCTTCCCCAAGCCTGTAGCATTACATAGGGTTGTTGTGACCCAAATGCAGGTGATACATCTGAGCTATCACACTGCTCCCTGAGACTGCCCACGGAACTGTCAACTTTTTCTTAGAAATCTGGTCATTGCTATATTCAGAGAGCAAAAGCAATCTAAGGTTTCCTCAAAGACTTGAATGTGTTCATTAGATAAAGCCTGACCTCTAGATGAAACAATTCCAGCTACTAATAATTAAAGCAAAGAAGTAACAATCCATTCCCCTTTCCCCCAAATCCAAATGACCCACAATATCAAGTTAAGCCCTGTGACCTTCAAAGCAGCTCTTCCAGTCCTGCATCTCTTTTAGTACTATATGCAGTTGCAGGGAGGGGGAATTAGTCACCTTGTGGTGTTTTCTCCAGTAATCCAAGAGCAGCACACGCATCAAGAAGTCTTTCTGTTCCACACACAGAGGTTCCAACCTCATTTGCAATATCCACAGCCTTCAGTGGACCTTTATTTTTCAAGTGATCAAACATCTTCAGCTTAGAGGCTACAAACAGAGCCTAAATGTAGGAAAAAAACCTGTTGGTGTACTGTGTTTAAAAGACTGCAATCAAGGAACCTTTCACCTAGAATTACTCTGCAGAAGTACTCTTTAAGTGCATCAGAGTTTAACAAAACTCCTAAAAATTGCTATGATAATTACATAATCTGAGGGTTTCTTTCCTGCTATGAGGGTTTCATTATCTTAGCCAAGTAACAGAATTTTTCCAGAGGCGTTTGGGAGAGAAGGGAACTCAAAATACTCTGCAACGCAGCCTACAGATTTTGTAGGAAGACCACCTCTTTATTCCGATATTTAGCATATCCTAATCTGTAAGACTGTCCATAAGGTCAAACATTCTTAAGCATCTGAACCAATGGCAAAAGATCAAATTAAATTTGATTTGCCCAAAACATAAGGAATGGAAAGCTTCACTAAGGCAGTGTAACAGCTTCAGTTGCTGTAATACTTGTCTGGTTAATAAAAATTAAGGGGAAAAAAAAGAAGAACAAAACTTCAGAGCACAACTGTCCTACATGCACACCTTCTAGAGCACAAGAGTGGAAGCGCACACAGCAACCACAGAATCCATTTCTTTGCAACTGCAGGCGACTATAATGTATTTAATCAAGGCAGCCAAGGAAAAAAAAAAGATTTGACATTCTGTTTGATAAAAATCAAATGGAGAAAAAGAGATTAATTTCAGGGAAGGTCTGCTACTGTGTGTGTATATGTATCATATCATTGTCATCCTCTTTTTACAGTTTCCTCTGTTATTCTAATGAGAACATAAAGGTGGGATTTATTATAATCCAGGCTTTCACAATACTGAGCTAACTGCATCTAGACTACAACCATTTGGCTTCCAAGACCTGACCAATCTTTGAACTGATACCACCCAGAAACTGTAGGAACAGGAAAGAGAAAGTAAGAAGTGAGGTCAACAACTTGGTTGACTCAAATCACTCTTTCTACTATTTTGTAATTCTCAGTTAAAGGAGGTAGGGGGAAAAATCAAAGGAAAAACCCCAAAGGTCTGAGTATGGATCAGACTATGCAGATTCAGAACATACTAATCTTGAGAAAGTAGGATTTAACCCTGATCCCCTCCTGTTCTGCAACAGCAGCTGTTCAAAGTAAAATAGGTGGCAACAACTTCACCAGGAGGACATTTTGTTCTGCTTTATGAAGTCCTTGAAACAACACTGAAGGACCAAAATGAAAGGGAACTTGAGAGCTTTTGTGAAACTAAATGCCTTTGTGCTCTTATTCCTATTCTACAAGTGGAGAGATGTTGTGTTTTGTCAGATCACAGGAAGCATTCACTGCAACTGGTAATTAAATTTACAAAGATCCAAACCCTGAGGAAAAAAAAATTTCCCAGTAGCTCAACATAAAACTCAGCACTTCATACTACGACATTACACTGGATTAGTGGGGAAAGAAAGCTTCTGCTTCTATTTCCAGTCTCTACCCTCTACTGCACAAAAACAAATTCTACATCCCGTAACTGTAAACAGTGTATATAATGTGCAAAAACTGATGAGTCTCCATATTAAATTGAAGAAATGCTAAACATCATCTCACCTGTTCAAATACATCAAAACCCATCCTCTATACACAAAAAATGCTCAAATGCGGCAATCTCAAGGCTGCTTTATTCCAAATCTCTCAGTACTGCTTTGCAAGCGGCACGCCCACAGATCTTCACTGACCACATTATGGTTTTCCTTCAGATCTGAGTACAACTTTCTGCTGTTTCAGCAAAACCATTGTTCACTGTCTGGCATGTTTCCCTACATCCCCCTGAAATTTGTTAAATCTTTAGTTCCAGGTTTGTCATTTCATTGCCACTTTAGCAGTTTTTTTCACCTCTTCCTAAAACATGACTGACTGATGGAAATCAGTGACCTATTTAGAATGATTGGTGTTTATTTCTCCTTTGCATTCTCCACTATTGTCTTCACTAGGTTGGAACTGAGTAGAAAACTGGTAGCATGTAAAATGTCTAGCTACTCATTTCTCATCACACTTGGCTGCTACACAGAGTATGTGACCTGTTTGTAAAAAGTTACTTGTATGTCTCCTTCAGATACTGCGTATTATCAGCTAAACATACCTGATGAAAACAGGGTATATAAAAATCTCCTTAACAGGGAATAAAAAAACCTCTAAGATCCTCCACAGAATTCTAATGCTAAGCATTAGAAGTTAGAAAGGAAATATAACATATAGTTACTGTCACAGTTTTAATTCAGATAAGCTAACCATATTAAATGCTGTCTTTGCAGAGCATACAAAGGTAACTTCCTCTTTGATGTGCTTTTGTGAGCAGTAAAAAACACAAACCACCAAACCCCTAAACACCAAAAAAACAAACCCAATTTTTTTCTCTCAAGAGACAAAATTTGTTTCAAATGGGTAATTAAAATTCCATAGAACAGATAAAAGCAGATCCCCAAAAAACCCCAACATCTGTACTGCACCAGAAATTTCAGCTATCTTGGACTCTCTAATACTTTAGTGGTCATTTACTAATTATTACTACATTCTTACACTAGCTCAAGTATTTCACATTACCTGTTATATATTGAAGTCTAATGAAACAACTGTATCAGCCAGGCATGTAGTAAGCAGGGCTTTGTTTGTTGGAGTTTTTTTCCCCTTACCTTTGAGGCTCTAAATCCATCCATCAGCTCTAGAATTTTAGATGGAAGTTTTGTTGTACTTTCTGGCATGCCATTCTGATTTTCCAGAGGTACCATAAATCCACTTCTGACACTAGAACTGTTTTCAGAATTGTTAATAGATCTTGAGGAACACATCCCGCTGCTGTCCAACTTACTAGAACCTTTGTGCTCTGTGAAATTTGAAGATTCACTTTCTCCATCACTTAGGTTCTCAAAAGTGTCCACAGAAGGGATAGAGTCATGCTTTTTATGTTGTACGCTGTGTTTAGAAGGCGGATAGTACAATTCTGCTAGCTTTTTGCAGAAGTGATTCAGAGGAAATCCCATCACGTTCAAGAAGTCTCCATGAACATACTCAACTAACATTCCACCGAGAGCCTGGATTCCATATCCACCAGCCTTGTCCCTGGGGGAAAAGAAAGCAAAAATGGCATATATTTAATTACAGTTAAGAGTGAAGGTAGCAGAGATCACAAATACTCCAGACATAGTGCAGAGTCTGGAATAAAGGCAGGCGTACTCAAGTTAAAGGCACATTAAATCTACTAGACTCAACACTTCAATTTATATATCACAAGATAAAAACAAGGATCAGTATTTCTACTAGGGGTGAGCAGCCTAAGGTGTTTATGCTTCAGACAGTCCAAGTGCCATAGTAAGCTAAGCAGGAGGGTACATCAGCTGGCTGTAGTCAGACTGCATTGACATAGGTCACCCAGCATTTTCCAAGTCCTGGCTACCAAAAAGGTAACAAACAACATTACTATTGCATCACACAGCTGCATCCTGACCCTCACTCTATTCCACAAGAGGCTGAAGGGCCTTAAGAATACGTTAGCTCCAAAAAGAACTCACACTGAAGAAGACATCTTAGAACTCAAATGACTGTAGTATGCATCTTGTGGATCTTAGTCACAGAAATATCTAAAATGAGGATCAGGAAGACAGGACTTTCCTGGGGAGGAGCAACCTATTCAAATACAAAACCCAGTACTCTCCCATTAAGCCCTGTCTAGTTCTTGCATAACCCTCAGATATAAGCAGAGCTGTAGTTCATGCCACTGTGCTCTTAGATGCCATTGTAATACTAGTAATTTGGGGCACAAATGTATTTTCACAGAAAGTAGCCTTGGAAATCTAATTTGTCTTTAGGTATAATTATGCAAATTCCACTACGTGGAATGGAAATGTATACAGGCAGATAAGCTGAAACAGACCCAACAATTTTATTGTCCACATTTAAGAAACAAGGCAGTTTGGAGTGTGTTTACTATAAGATAACACCAGAATCTGGAACCCTAAGTCAACAAACTTTGAAACCAAAGGTCAGTCTCAGATCTATTAACTTAAAATAGTATGGAATTACACAAACTACTTGTGAAAGAAGGTTACTACACAAAGAAGATTACTGACTTTTCACCTTAGATTTGATGAGAACCAGCTCTTTGTATTTTTGGAACTTATTCCTGGATTCCCTTTTTGATAGTCTCCTAAACGAAACAGAGGATCAGTATCCCAGCAAAAGATATTTTTGAATTGCTATGAACTGGGAAACAGGGCTTTTCTCTTAATCTTGCACACAGCAGCAATATCTAGCTTTGTCACAGTTTAAATTATTCCTTCTTTCATGACATACTTGAGACTTATACCATCTAAATTAGAAATATTCTAATGACTAAATAGTAATTTTATTTTTTAAATGAAGCAGCAGTCCTGTAGGATGAAGTCATTATGGCATATACTGACAGGGAGGCAAAAAACATTGTGACCATCAAAAACAGTGGTATCATACTCCCAGGAAGGACATTACCACAACTGCCCACATCTTGTGCATTTTTATACAGAGCTTCATATTCTGAACTGGATCCTGAGAAGGATTCTCTACTACAAATACAGGTCTAGTCCAAATGCATGAAGCTATGTAGTTAGTAAAAGTTCCACTGTTTCATCAACAAGCATCTTCCATACTAAAATCCAGAGTATATCAGTATTTACAGAGCTCTCAACTGTCTCTAGCTAATCTGACAGGGTTTTGTAACTGGATACTTTTATCAGCATAGCACTAACATCAAGGTTTCATTTATTAACAGTATTAACAGCATCAGTTAATTTATGTTATAATAAAAAACACAACTCCCTTTAAAGACCTTTTGACAAACAGCAAGATCACTGCTGCAACTGAAATATTTTTCAGTTACCAACTGCAGGAATGTGTGCAATATCCATTGATTTAAAGACAAAACCACCACCACCAAAAAACCCCTATGATCAGCCAACAAACAAACCCTCACACAATGTGGCAGGAATGTGTGCAACACCCACTGTTTTTTCCTAAAAAACCCAAACAGCTCCCAACGGACTCCCAAACAAACCAACCCACAATATACAAGGGGAGGGGACGGGGGGGGACGACGTTAAGAGACATAAAATAGAGCTAACTCTTCCAAATGTAACATTAAAACACATTTACTTTTTAACTGTAGAATTTGAACATGCCACAAAATAGTATAACCATGTATACAATATTTGTATTGTTCAACTGAGTCCATGATCAAATAAAACACTTTTGCAGTAACAAGCCCTTCGGCTCCTACAGATGAAGGGAAATGCTTGGTTGGGTTTTAGGTGGGTTTCCAAAGGCAAGAACATGTGTCTGACAATGTATGTGTCTTGGTCCATACAGACATGAATGTAGAACAACTATTTCCTACAGACAAGTCAAATGTAGCAACATGACGTGAAAAAAAAAACAAGGTTCAAAGTCAATTCCAGTGTAAGAACAGCACAGCTTTCTCTGCTTCTGTAATCCTACACCTGGAAGATTTTTGCTCTTATGCTCTTAGAGCTGATAGCCTCTAAGCTATCCATGAGCTTAGCTACACTGCAAGACTGATTACTTGCAAAATCTAAATTTTATGTTTGCTATAGCTCTGAAAGAAGTAACTCTTATGATAAATCATACAAGGGAAGAATGACATTTACATTCTACTTTATTACTTCATAGTTAAGTCTGAAATTGTACAGCTCCAGCTTCTGTAATCACCTCTTTCCCAGAGTGCAGTAGGGTCCTTTGATTTCACTGCCACCATTCAGAGCAGAGTTACCAAAAACCACACAGAATCTTCAAACTGGAAGCTGTAGCAGAGATCAAGGAAGTTGTTCACAAGGGAAAGATTACAAAGTAAGAAGTGGGGTCAAAGAGGTGCGCAGAAACAAAGTTTACTCATTACGCAAGTCCCAAACTGTTAAGGTTATTACAGTCCAGCCTTTTTGTACAGAGCAAGGAAAGATCTGCCAGCCAGCAGAAAACCCTTGGTTGGAAAGAGAAACAGGAATAAAACCAGGGAAAGGCCATCTTCCTGCAGCCAAAATTTGAGGGCCTTTATAGCCTCATCACAGACTACCTTGAGTCAGTGCTCTTTACTCACTCCTTATGCATATGTTAAGTCAGCTATACACTTTTACAATTAGTCCCTGAGTCACCAGTGACAGACTTTTGAAATACTAAATGCCAGTTCTGTCCTTGCTATAAAAAGAACTCTGCCCAATCCAAACAGCACAAAAGAGGCAATTTTCTTTTAGTTTTTCATGTGATCATTGATTTTAATGTTTTCAGAAACTTAAGCAGCCATTAAAAAAATAAACAAATGGTCATCTGAACTGTGTGTTTAGAAAAACCTGTATGCACATAAATGTGTAAGTAGTATGTATGGGTGGCCACAGAGGAGGGGAAGAAAAAGCCCAAACAAAGGAAAAAACCCGTAAGAGACTTCACCTTACTGTTTTGCAAAATTTAAAAGGACACTATATTTAGTAGTTCTTTCCTAAGGCCAGAGCAAACTCTTCCTATTGTCTTGAAGACTGATTGGCTTCTGCTTCAGAGAGTAATGAAATACATTCTCTGAAACTCTGGTCCCTGAGAAGCCCCTGCTGTCACACCCCCTGCTTAGCAGAATGAACAGAATTACCCAGTGCTGCTCATGAGCCTTTTTGCTTTAGCAAAGAACTGCTAAAGCATATTTTCTTCCAGAGGAAATAATCAGAATATCACAAAATATTTTTCAAAATGACATTCTTCCTAAAAATCCATGGTCATTTCTCCTGCATAAAGTTGCAGTTCAATCAGCTGCATACTAAAGATCACCTTCCAAAAGCCTACTAGGAATTTCTGTTACAAACTGTGTTGCTGACAAAACGTTCTTCACTGCATAATCCAATTTAGCTTCAGTCTCTGTAATAAGCTGGGAACCTTACATGTTCAGAAAAATTGCCCCATTTACAGATAAGCACTTAAAATGAATTCTAAATCTACAGTGGTTCTTCTTTCCCCAGTGAAAAGTGACAGTGTTGTTTTATAACACAAATGAGTTTAAAAAACACCATGACATTCTTACACAGTGAGAACTGAAGTTACAGAGCCAGAATTTCACCTCCGATCACCGGATATGCCATCCATAGTGCTAACTATGGCCTGATTTGCCTTCACTAAGCTTCAGCTAATACAAGGGAAGGGGAAAGCCTTTTTGTCTTCAAATAAGTTCTACCAAAAAAAAAACAAAAAAAAAACAAAAAAAAACACAAACCCAAAATAAACAAAACAATCTAGTCAGCTTCATCTTAGGAGTAGACATTCTGTTCCCATCCTACTTATTCTGGGGAATCAATGTTGTCTGTAAGTAATCAGTATATTACAAGAGTAGCGGAAACATGGAAGTTAAGAGATAACTGTAGCATAGGAAAGTATATAAGCTGGCCACAAGAATAAGTGAAAATTTAGCCATCATTCCTTGCAGCAGAGCAGTGCTATTTTAATAAACTAAACCAAGTTCTAGTTTCCTTCAATAAAGTTCTCCAATACTAAGTCTATTCACCTTTTTTATAATGAGAACTATCCATTGCCTCGGGTATCCAAGCTCCCTGAATGCCTCTGTTAACAGAGAGGTAATTGTATATTGCATGCGTACTTGCTCTAATCCAGCATTTCAACAGCCTTCACTTCCCAAATTTCTTAGGGTACTAAAAAGGTAGCTCACTTTCCCTGGAGCAATCAGCTCTAGACGAGAAGAACAGAATACCTACCTTGCATCACCCATGCTATCATTTATCAAATACACACAGCAAAGCTTCGCAGAACACAGGACAAAATGGTTTTATGCCTGTAGCTAGTAACACACGCAAAGGCCTATTCCTAAATATTGTGTGATAGCTTCTGGGTCTTACTTACATTGGCTCCCCACTATGAATGTACTCCCACAAAAGATCTTCAGACAGGTCAGAAAATTTTACTTTAGTCTCTTCATAGAAATCAGTGACTTCCATCTCTAGCTGATTATCTACAGAAGGGAAAAGGCCTCATTAAAAGCAGAAACTGTAGTTTAAAGAGCGTAACAGCTCAGTTTTATTTTGTATTCATCTGACATTTTTGCTTGGGAAAAAGTAAGGTATTACACAGATGTATGAAATGACTAATAATGTTCTTTAGGGACAATGGACTCAACTTTCCCCAGAAAGTGAAAGCTTGCATTTTCAAGCTCCACAGCCCTGTCTTGGGACACTTCCTATGTGGGATGCACTCGTAAATCAACAATGTTTATGCAGAACTATTTATGGACTCCTAGCATACACATCCAGCACTGAGAACAAAGAAGGCTACAAACACCCTTCTAACTTTATGGCTTTTGTCAAAGAACTCTTAACAAAACCTCATAGTTAAACATATAGCTGTTATAAATGCTTGAATGTGGATTTACATCTACAGTGCAGTCTCAGGCATCCAGCAGTTCCATCAGTAACCATCACTGTAATTTTTGTATTGTCTCTCAAGAAATAACAAGATTATTTTTGTATCTAGAAGTGGCCGAGAGAAGGCCAGAGGTGCAGTAACAAACTGCACACCTGGGTGTGGATCCTGTTGCTAAAAAAGATGAAAATCCCATCTGTAACATGTATGTGGTGCTTAACAACAGTGCTTTAATTATAACAAACCTAAAAATGTATTCTACAAAACTCAGTTGATTGAATCCCTTGGGGAAATATGCAGATTTATGGTAATTTTATTCATTTGAATATCATATGGCTTAAATCTGTATATTTCAAATGATATGTGCTGTCACAGCATCAGTAGTACAGTTGTGTACATTTTTACTCTTCCTAAACAATTATTATTCTTGCTGGATAGCTCATAGGAACCCCTTGATAACATTGCAGCAGCTCTCTTTCTACTGTACTAGCATATTAGTAGGGGTACTGGATGACTGACAAGAGTTAGGAGCAATCATTTCAGTAAAGATTAAAAGCTGTAAATAATTTGTCTACAGAAAGACTATGTCCACTAAAATTTCAGAGAAATGACCCATGCAAAAGTTCCATTAAAACAATGTTGGCATAATTATCAGAGGAGGTCCCTCAAACCAAACACTCCTTAAATTATATTAATGGTAGAGTTCTTATAAACCCCACTTGCTTACTGTATAAATTATCTGATAAAGAACATTAACATATTGCTCCCTACAATTCATTACAATTCATTAACAATCTGAGGCATTAAGCCACTATTTCAGTCATCACCTAAAGCTTCCCTTATGTACTGAAAAGAGAAAAAAAACAAGCAACTGCTTTTATTAATCAGCTAGTGTAAATATAACACAGGAACAGTTAATATGGTTCGAATCTGCCCAGCCCCACATTTTGTAGTGCCTTACTTGAATTTCATTTAGAATGTTCCCACAGTTTACACTACTCTTTTAATTAGTCCTATAGCTTTCAGAGACAGCATTTCTGAAGTCTACTCTATTTTTTCATCCTCCTTCCTGTGTGAAAACTGAATACAGTGAAAAAGCTGGCTTTTGTAGGAAGCTTTTAATTTACGTATCGATAAGGTAATTCTCATCTGAGTAGGAAGCCAGTTCAGACTATGTATGAAAAATGTCCATTCTGTTTCTTCATTTGTACAGATCCTTAAAATTTTTAATGCAAACACTGAGTTTTAATAAAATGACACATATACCTTTACTGCTGCAATGTATAATAGCCACTCCTGTGAAAACACTGTGCTCTTTCCCATTCAACCTGTGAGGAAAAAAAAAACAAAACATGGTTTAAGCAACAGTTTGATGAAACCTGCCATGTGCAAAAATGTTCTACATGATTATGTTACTACAGCCTGAGAGACAGACCATTATATTAATATATATGCTTGATGTATTATCCTAAACAAACATTTTTTTTATTCCAATATAGGTGAAAAGACATTGACAAAACAAAAAAATACTATAAAGAGATTCAGACATTTCAAGTCTCCAAAATCTCACTTGTACTGATGTCCACAGCAGTCTACAATATCAGCTTATTTATTGTAAACAGGAGGAAGTGACTATTTCAAATGCATAAGAAAAAGCCAATCAGCATAAACACTACTCTTGCAGGCATCTTCACTGAAAGCTGGCAATGAATAGCTAGGTGACGCAATTTAGACCAAACATTTGATAGGCAACTAAAGGTTATGTACTCATTTCATCTAGACTGGCCCCAGGGATCCCATGGCAAGCCAGGGGAGCAGATGCAGAAGGCAGACCCTCCCACGGGCTCATTGGTAGTGGCTCCAGAGCGCCACATAGTGGCCGATTCCTTTTGAGAGCTTCTAGTTTTTCATTTAATGTGTAATAAATAGCATAAGAACTTGAATCTTTGAAGAGAGTAGTTAAGAAATAGTCTCCTAAATACTAGCCAGCCTATTTGAGGTAATCCATCTCACACTCCTACTATCCCCCCTAGCATTCTACCTAATTAATTGTAAGATGAAACAGTGAGTGTCTGCACTTTATTCTTTTCATATAGAACAAAATTAAGAGGAGTTCTAAAAGGCTAAATTTTAAGTGCATTTCATACCCATGATTAAGCCACTGACCTACTGAACTTAGGCAAAAAACCCCACCAAAACAAACAAGCAAACAAACCCAAAACAAAACAAAAACATCAACCAACCAGCCAGCCACGGAGCTCTTCATATACATCAATGAATCTGTACAGCTCCTTTTAGAACAGCTTAACATACATATTTGGAATCTTACTTAAAACTACAGACCTGGAGAGCATCCTATATGCATCTTGCTTATCAACTGGTTTCTCCAGAATTTGTTCATCCACAGACTAAAACAAAGATAGAGAAAGTGTGAGGCTTTTTCTTACTTTTCAGAAACTGAGGTCAGAAATTATATTTGAACCATAATTTCAGCTAGGGCTTCAAACATGAGTGACTGAGTAGAGCAAGAATCACAGGTGTTTTGTCAGAACATGTGATTTATTACCAAGCACATAACGAGTGCAACACTCCAGTGGCTGCAGCTCTCAAACAAAAGGGTAATTCAACCTCTTCTGTCCTTAACCTTTCACTGTCTCTGTGAAGATGACAGGTAAAAAGTGATGCCCACTACAAGGCACACCACCGAACAGTTCACATGATCTGGACTTCTAGACAGTCAACAACTGACTGAGAACAGAATTTCCCTTACATACTAGACGATCCAAGGCAATATTTAATGTAATATTAGCATCTCTGCAAAAACAGCAGCAAAGCTTTTAGCACTCAGGATACCAAAACCTGCCTTGTTGGGCAAAAATACCCTAAAACCCATACCCACAAAACCCACAAGATACATCATATTGCAGGTATAACTTCTCAGTGAAGACAGCTTTCAAACTTTAAACCTAAAGATACAAGTACTTTCTACGCTTGTCATAAATTAAAACAATGCTAAACCACAGAAGACTTCTTACCACAATAGTGTCTGCTCCTATGACAACATCAGGTGTTCTCAGGTGTTTCTGCAAAGGCATGAAAAAAAGAAGGTATTTCTCAAAAGAGGAAGAAAGAACAAAATCTTTTATAACCTATGGTAAGAAAACAAAGTTTGCTGGTTTACAGGTAGGACTCAACACTGGCCTGAGAACAAGCCACTCCTTTTGTAGTGTTTACAAAATCTGTAATAATTTGTCACCATAAAAGTGAGGAAAACAGGAGGCATGAGCAGACCATTCCTAGGTCATGATTTTGCCTAAATACATTATTGATGAACAAATACATCCAGGAAAGAACTACCTGCATTCTCAAAAGTCATGCTCTTCAAGGTGGCAGACACAATTCCTTTAAAGAAAGTGCAAGTGTATGGAAGCCAGGGAATACAGCCCTCTAGGATTGTTTTTCCAAGACAAGTTTTGCTAAAAGAGGGAACACATACTCTCTGTTTTGGGGAATTGAGAGGTAGGAGTATAAACTTAAAACTTGTATCTGTCGTCATAGCTGAGGTTTGATTGATTTGCATGTTATGAGGTACATGGTTATTATTTAACACAGCAAGACAGGAAACTTGTCTGCAACTGTGATCATTATATTAATAAGAGTTTGTAAGGAGGTGATTTTTCTATAGAAAGGCTGTTGATGTGCTTTAAATAAAACTAATTCCAGGCACCATTAAAAAAATTCCATTTTGAAATCCACTGAATTAGCATTATCACAACATAGTGTTTTGCAATGAAAGGCCAATATAAGTCAGTTAGCAAGGCTGGGTTTAAAATTCACTCTCCTAATGTTATAACATTCTCTGAAAAGAAGCTGACAGAAACCTGGATAACGATTTACATTGGACATCATGCAATATTTGTTCTGAAGAGCGGTGACTTCTGGCAGCACTGTTGGTTTAAAGTGTTTAAAATTCCTTTTCTGACATCAGTATAGGTTCAAACAAACACCCTCCTCTCTTCCAGAGTTGTATTATGGTACATTTTGTGGGATCTTAATCAGATAGACTTTGAAATAGGTCCTGGTAGGGAACAACCTTATGTACTCAGAGTGATCACAGCCAAGGCAGAAGTCAAACATGCCATTTACAATGTAAGCTGCATCACTGGTTTTGACAATATTGAGGATACAAAATGGATGCAATGACTACAGAATCTGAAATCATGTCAGCTTCTCCTTTCTTAAAAGAAAATTGCCTGTTTGCCCAGAATGCTTTAAAACTGAATTTGTCTTCTTTTTCTGCTTTCCCCCAGCATCTCTACACTCACAAATTCTGAGCTTGTTGTGGTTTAAACCCAGCTGGTAACTCAGTACCACGCAAGTCACTTATTCACCCCTCCCTCCTTCCCCCCCCCCCCCCCCCCCCCCCAGCAGGATGGGGAGGAGAATCAAAGGAATGTAAAACCCGAAGGCTGAGATAACAACAGTTTAATAACTAGAGTACAGTATATTACTAATAATAATGATAAAGGAAATAACAAGGGGAGACAATATAAAATTAAAAGGGGAAAGCAAAAAAAGAAACCAACAAGAAACAGCAGTGATGCACAATACAACCACTCACCACCCATCAACTGATACCCAGCCTGACCTGAGCAGCTATCTCTTCCTTTCGGGTAACTCCCTCCAGTTTATATACTGGGCATGATGTGCTATGGTATGGAATATCCCTTTGGCTAGTTTGGGTCAGGTGTCCTGTCTCTGCTTGCTCCCACCTTCCTGTGCCCCTCCTCACTGGCAGACCATGGGAGACTGAAAAGTCCTTGATCAGGGTAAGCATTACTCAGCAACAACGAAAGCACTAGTGTGTTATCTTTCTCAGACTAAAGTAAAAAACACAGCACTGCACCAGCTACTAGGAAGAAAATTAACTCTATCCCAGCTGAAACCAGGACAGTTATACTCCTGTCACAACTGTTTAACTACTGTTCAATGAAAGCTATAGCAAAGCCCTGGGTTCACATCAGTGAGTTTTTCCATAGAGTATGCCTCCACAGACAACAAATACCTGGAGTGCACAACTGTCCAGCCACATACCTGACTGCTGGAAGGAACTATGGAGTGTATGATCCCAAGCAGGCATAGGTATGCTGCTAAGAAAAGATATGTCACTTCTGTTTGTGGCAAGCCTGAACTGCAGTCACAAGTCCTTCTTATGATTTGGTGAGCTAATTTCAGGAAGCTATCGTTTACAAATGACAGAACAATATGCATTTGCCTTCAGTGGGGAAAAAGCACTGAGACCACCTAAGAAATACATGCAAATTAAGTCACAGTAACACACACCAGTTAAAGATGAAAATCTTATTGCCAAAATAGCCGGTGACTTACTACATGCATTCTGTTCGCTACTTCAAGAGCTTTCTGTTTTGCTGTTTCCACAGCATATTCATAAGGGGCTGCAAAATACGACTTTTCGAGTGTTTCCTTAAACCAGGATGGAACGACCTCAAACCGCAGGCCCTGTAACAAAGGAATGCAATACAGTCAATCTGATATTATTATTAAAGGGTGCTTCCATAAAAATCTAACAGTATAAAACTTACACATTTCACAGACTATTCTGATACAGAGTATTTTTTACTGAATTCATCCACCGCACTTTACTTGCATATCAGTAGTACACACTCTGACAGGAGATTTGCCACCCACGCTTTATCTGTCATTATACATGTGATAAACAGAAAACATGAGACAGTTTCTGTGTGGTTTTGTCAAAATCTCCCCTCCCCCCCTTCTTCCTGCGTCTTGCCTCCAGGTTATACCTGTAAATTTACTACACCCAGCAGGCACACCGTGCTTCTATTAACTTTGTGCATGCTTGAACCTTGGTGCTTCCCCAAGTCTCTGTTCTGAAAATATACCTCTTCCTATTCAAATTCAACTTCTCCCATGAAGAATAACAAGAGTAAGCAATCTAAATCTGATGTATTATAATACCCAAGTGTCATTCAAAAGCTCCCTGCAGCCTGCCCAGTGAGGTCAGCATGTGCTTCCATGGAGCCTGAATGGTCTGAATGATGGATTACAGCTTCCTTAGTGTCCCAAAAGTGCTCTGCAGAATGAATAAGGGACAGCTACCTATTCTGCTGTCTCTCCCCCTCATAATACTAATCCCATGAAATTTTCATATATTTCAGAAGCCAAAGTAAAATTTTCACAAATTTTGGTATTAAATAGCTAAAGGGCAGGTAATGGAAGCACATTTTTAATTCATGTAGTCTGTTGCAAGATCTTCCAAATTTTACTATTATATAGAATCATAGACCAGTTCGGGTTTCAAAGGACCTTAAGATCACGTAGTTCCAACCCCCCCCCCCCCGCCATGGACAGGGACACCTCACATTAAACCGTGTCAAGGCTCTGTCCAGCCTGGCCTTGAGAACACTGGCAGGGATAGAGCATTCACAACTTCCCTGGGCAACCCATTCCAGTGCCTCACCACCCTCACAGTAAAGAGCTTCCTCCTTATATCCAATCTAAACTTCCCGTTTAAGTTTTAACCCGTTACCCCTTGTCCTATCACTACAGTCCCTAATGAAGGCCCCGTTCAGATACTGGAAGGCTGCTATGAGGTCTCCACACAGCCTTCTCTTCTCCAGGCTGAACAGCCCCAACTTTCTCAGCCTGTCTTCATACAGGAGGTGCTCCAGTTCCCTGATCATTCTCGTGGCCCTCCTCTGGACTTGTTCCAACAGCTCCATGTCCTTTTTATGTTGAGGACGCCAGAGACAATTATGTTGGCATTTTCCAGGCTGAGCAAGTCTTCTATTTGCCTGATCACACCACCCCCTGTCAGCAGGATACTTTAATCCATTCTCGTATTAACCTTGATGGTTAAGTGAAACTGATGCGCACGGTACTTGCTTACAGAGGAAAGCTGACCACGAAATACTGGTACTGGAAACAACAGTAACATTCCTATGTAAGACAGCGTGCACTCGGGGCAGCACCCGCCGTTCGAAGCCCAACCCTGGGCCTTTCTGCCTCTGCCCAGGCCGGCTGGCAGGGCGGCCTGGGGAAGGACCGCCGGTATCGCCCCGAGGCGCAGCACAAGCGGCTGCCGCAGGAAGCACGGCGCGGGCTTGTGCCGGCTCTGTGCAGGCGGACCGGCGGCCGGAGAGGCGGCGGACACCGCAGGCCCAGCCCGGCGCTGAGCACCTGCACACCCCCAGCGCCCGGGAGCGGGGGTCGAGCTGCAGCACCACCGGCCTTCCCCCCCCAGCCCAGGCGGGGCGAGGCGAGGCGAGGCGGGCACTCACCACGTTGGTGAGGATCTCCTGCCGGCGCGGCGAGGCGCTGGCCAGCACCACCCTCTTGCTGACCAGCTTCCCCAGCACCGGGTGCAACACCATGGCGGCAGCTGCCCTCCGCTCCGCACACGCTCGGGATAGGCCGGGGCGGCGGCAGCAGCGGCCTTATATGACGGCAGGGCCGCGGGGCGGGGCCGGGCTGTAACCGCCCCAGCGAGCTGCGGAGACCCCGCGGACCGAAGGCGGGGCAGTACGCGGGGGTGGGGAGGGCCGGAAGTGCTGCTTCACGGCGCGCCCGGGAGCAGGGTGGCGCCCACGCCGGTGTTTCCGGGTCCTGGCGGCCTCGGGCAAGCGGGCGCAGCTGGCTATGGAGGGGTGGGTGCGTGGGGAGCCGCCACCGGCAGCAGGCTTAAATAAAGAGGGACAGACATCAGGGACAGACACAGATTCCGTGTCGTAGGAGCCACGTTTAGCATCACACAGCCCCGTTCCGATAGTTCTTTAATAAACTGAAAGAGGGTAGATTTAAATTGGACATAAAGGAGAAGTTCTTCGCTATGCAGATAGTGAGGCACTGGCACACGTTGCCCAGAGAAGCTGTGGCTTTGCCCCATCCCTGGCAGTGTTCAAGCCCAGGTTGGATGGGGCTTTGAGCAACCTGGTCTAGTGGAAGGTGTCCCTGCCCATAGCAGGGTTGGAACCGGATGATCTTTAAGGTCTCTTCCAACGCAAACCATTCTGTGATTCCTAGCGTTGGCAAAGAGGCAATACTATTCATTTTTTTTTGTCAGAAGGAACTATGATCATCGCCTGATTTGATGCAAATCTTAGATATTCTCTGTTTGGCCTTTTAAGCAAGTAAAGTTGAACATAAAAAGTCCAATATAAAAAGATTAATTCCCAATAAAATAAATATATATTCAACAGTGAGTCTGAGTAGTGCCAGCCAGCACCCATGGTCACACTGTGACACGTGTATATGTGTGTGAATGGCTAGCCACAGAGCATGCTCAGACACAAACAGCATCCAAAGACTCCTGTTCCACTTGCTGGCTGGTCAGGACAAAGGTCTAGTAGTGGAAAAATACATGCATGCAGGCACACGTACGTATCTGACAACCCTGTCATATTCAGTGTGGACCCCTCCAGTAGCAGAGCTCAGACAGGGCTCCTGTGGTAGCAGGAGGGGCTGGGGCAGAGGACTCTTTTGCCCCTGTGGGGCTGCTGGGGTACCCCCACCCTTGGGCCTCCTGCTGCTGTCATGGTGCAGGGGATCTAGCTGTATTCACCACAACCTCACAGGTTGTACATTGTCCTAAGTAACAGAATGCAAATTTTGAAACTACTATTTTTTTAAAGGGGTGGCAGTGACTTGAGAGCAGAATAGAAAAATTATCTTTAAAAATGCTTAAAAAAATACTGTGAACCTAGGGAAATTATACTGAATTGAAAATGCAAATAAAATGCTTAGATTAACTGTGAATGAAGACAGCTGCCCTCTGCAAATCCATAATACTGAAAATAGTTCTGGGATAGCTGGAGAGCCAATTAGGAAAAATGCGTTTTTGTGGAAAAGGGGGAGGAGTAGTCTTGTCATAGAACCATAAAATCATAGAATGGTTTCGGTTGGAAAGGACCTTAAGATCACCTAGTTCCAACCCCCCTGCCGTGGGCAGGGACACCTCACACTAAAGCGTATCACCCAAGGCTCTGTCCAGCCTGGGCTTGAACGCTGCCAGGGATGGAGCATTTACCACTTCTTTGGGTAATTCCAATGCCTCACCACCCTCACAGTAAAGCACTTTCCTTGTATCTAACCTGATGTTCCTCTTCTTAAGTTTAAGCCATCATCCTGTCACTACAGTCCCTAATGAAGAGTCCCTCTCCAGCATCCTTGTAGTCCTCCTTCAGATACTGGAATGCTGCTATGAGGTTTCCATGCACCCCAACTTTCTCAGCCTGTCTTCATACAGGAGGTGCTCCAGTCCCCTGATCATCCTCATGGGCCTCCTCTGGACCATAAGAGAAAAAGCCAAACTACATCACATCAGCTACCACAGCTGGAAGAGATTTGACGAGTAATCATCATTAACTGCTCTGTAGCAGCCTTGCAAGCATCAGGCAGAACAAGTGTGAGGCTGCAGAGAGCTGACCGAGGTGACGATCAATGGCACCAGCAGTTATCAGAAAAGTTTCTGTCTTGGCTGACTGAACTAGTCAAAGATTAGCTTGTCCAAGGCTGGTTATGAAACTGTTGTCTTTTTCAAGTACCTGGGGTATTTTGAGCAAAAGAAAAACAGCAGAGAGGGCTCTGAACTGCAGAGACCTTTCCTTGACATTTTTGTTCTGACCTCTCTGCTTTTCTGCCTTTGCATTTATGCTGCAGCCATTACAGTAACACTTTAAAGCATGTAAAGAACACTGTGGTAATCAAAACCTTTTGTCTACTTTATATGTACCCCAGATGAGTGTATGTATTTCAATGGGGATGTATTATTTGGCTGAGTCACCTCTGCAACCAGAAGATCAACCTGTTTGAGGAATAATGCATTCCACTGTGAAGAAGTTAGTGAATTCTGGGAATGTTGCTATGAAGAGGATGAACATTTCATCTTTTACAAGGCAGCTTAGTTTTTCTATGATAACCTCAATAATTCCAAGAGCTCAGACTTGGTTTTTCAAGGACTGCCTTTCTGCCATTAAAATACTTGCCATTGTCCAATGTATCTACACAGTTCATGAAATATCTCTCTATTACTACAGGGAAAAGAAGATTAGTGGTTTACAGATGGGTTCTCTTTCACCACCTAGTCATCAGGAATTCTCCTCTGATTAAATAACATCTTTGCGTCATTTAACACCACCTGTGCTATGTCATTTTATGTACAACTGATACTTAGCTAGCAGTCTTCTGAGCAAGGAATTACCTGCTTCATGTAACAGTGTATCTCATTTTCATATTGCTTTACATGTTCAACTAAATTTGTGGGTTATGAAGAGGTGTTCTAGATTTCTTTAATAAGTTCAGATCCTTTCAAGGTGTATAAAACAGAAGCACATGTTAGCTCTCAAACTGTTTTGTCATTGCTTCTTGCAGAGTGCTGCTGAAGTTTTACTGGAAACTCATAAGATTTTCAAGAGCCATTTTTCCAGACTCAAGAAGCACTTGCAGAGCTGGTACCCCAGATTTCCTTCCCCACTCTTACTCTTTAGCCCTGTGTTCCATTAGTCCATTTTTAAGAACCCCTATAAATTTAGTTTCTTCCAGCTCAGGACTAAATGCTCCTTCCTCCTCTTCTATACAACTTGGAAGTTTCCTTTCTGTTTGAAGTAGAGTGGTGTTACAAGCACATAGAAGTATCTTGGGGAAACCACAGGAAGTCAGATTAAATGAAATTTTAAGTTAAATATGTGGGCTGTATAGTATGTAATGTCCCTGTAAATGTTTTTACATATATTTAGTTTGAAGATGTTTATCCCACATAGCTATCAAATAATGTAATACCTTTTCTGTGAGGAAACTTCACAACTGTTGAGGGAATGTCAGCCTGTTGACAGGAACATCACAACAGGAGGAATGCCAGCCTATCTTTCAGGCAGCTCCATGCCCATCCTACAGGACAAGGAGAAGCAGCTACATCAAACGTATAGCAATGCCCAGCAAAACAGAAATCACTATCCAAGCCCCAGTGAAGCATCTTTGGCCAACATATTTAAATGGTGTAAAGAGTTTCTGTCCAAGAATGACTAAAGAAGGGATGTCAGGGAATCAGAGTAACTGCTTTTGGCCTCTGCTACAGAGAAAGTATAGCGAGGTGGAGAAGTCTGTAAAGAAGACCACTGTTTCTGAATTGTTTATATTTGAAAAACACATTAAAAAGTTCATAAATATTTTCAGAAAATATTTTTGCATGTACATAATGAATACATAACATGCACGTGACATATGTGTGCATTTATATAAAACACATGTACACATGTATAATGTATGATACAAATATATATTTGCCTAAGTAAGAAAAACAAGTCTCCCTTCTACTTGTACAGTATAATGATTACTGCAAAGACAACCGTATAAAGTTAAATGAAGATAAGATGCAGAGAAGAGAGGTTTTATTGACTCAGCTGGAATCCAAGCTCTTCCAGAAAATGACTTAATGGTGCTCCAAGGTCAAGAACGTTTGTGGAGCTCGTATGTTCGTTATTTAAATCTCCACAAGAGGGCAGTGCATCCCATAATTTTTCTGCGAGTTTGCTCACTAACTTGTAGGTAGCTGTAGCGAGCTATAAATTCTGAGGACTAAAGGACTAAGGACTATAGCTGGGTATGCATGCATATTTGGACATATGGCGCAATCAGAGCTACTGCTAATATCAATAGGTCTAGCAGTGTCTTGAAAGAGGTGCTTTGAGATTGGGGCTATAAAGAGACATCATAAACACAGTAATAGGTGCTAAGATATGTTTGAAACAGAGCTCCTCCAGCAAATTGTCATGAACATTGTAAGAACAGGAATCTTTCCACCCTGTGGCCCAAGTATCTGTATTGAATATGAAAATAAAAATTACTGTGAGATTAAAGGTTTTTTTGTGTGTCTTCTATCTTCTCAATCTGAGCAGATTTATCAATTTAAAAAAAGTTATATGCTGTATTTTATCTCATTTTTTTATCCTTTAAAGGTGTAGTTTTAGCAGCAATATATGGGAACACTTGGTAAAAAAAGCTCAAATCTATGGACATTTTACGTGAAAGTGTACAGAGTAGTTTGCATTATCAGAATGGGGTGAGGTACAGATGAATTCTACATATGCTATGGAATGTAAGGTGAAATAGGGAAAGGAAGAATGTCAGCAAGCCTGTTGACAGTAATGAGGAACAGGGGAAATTGAACCATCAGTATTGCAGTACTGAAACTTCTTGAAGGAGAAAAAGCAGTTTTACCTCCATAGAGAGTTTCTAATTGAGAAGGTGAACAGATTCTGTGTAGAGGCAAATGATGTGAAGAGGCTTCCAGTCATTCAACATCATTATTTTCCTTTATTTTCTGAAGCCATATGAGCCTGGGAAGGTGAGAAAGACCTACAGCCCGTGTGTTTGATCAGGTCCCCAGGAATATTATTTCCCTGGTCATTAGCCTGCATCAGATGAACAAACTGCTGTTACAAGCATGAAGATGGTAAAAATCCAGACAGCTATTAAGAAGAAGGCGGCAACAGTCCTGGGATACTAACTGCTTTTGCGCTGTGGGTCCATGTTAACATGGGAGTCTACCAACATCTGGATGTCTGAATGCAACCAGTAGCCAAAGCAGCTACCATGTAGGTTTTGGAAACAGAGAAGGCAATCGATGTGAATGCTGCCAAGCAATAAGATGATTAGAGCAGTACTTCATATCTGCTTTTGATCAGATAAGTTGCACCTTTTGTGCTTGGCAAGCCCACATTTCCAGAGATATGAGTCCCTCTGTGAGATGTTTGCTCTGTATTTAGGTAGTGGTTTATTTGTCTGTTAACCACATTCCTTTCCTTGCAGCAGAGATCTGGAGATACGCTGCTGCTTCCAGCTTTCATGCTGAAAGGGCTCCACACTTCTAAAATGAAACTGGCTGTTTATGAAGAAAAATACTTACAGACATTCTGTAGCTGCAGATGGCTTCTTGCAGAGACTAACTTTCTGGATCCCTTTCCAAATCCTCATTTACTGTATTTCTACCCCAAGCTGCCACAGAGGTTACTTCTTCAACCCCTCTCCCATCTCTATCTTGAATCTCTTTATACTTCCTTTAAGTCTGTTGTCTTTTCTCCTTTGACAAGGCTGCTCAGATATGCAGCAGAGGAGCCAAACCGTTATGTGTCCTCAGATTTAAGGCACTCAACAAAACGCCATTTTCCTGGTACATTACCATATCCAACAACAGCATTTAAGGGTGTAGAACATCCTGGAAGAAGCTTCAAATGACAATTAGCCTTTGTAGCTCCTATCAGGACAGCATGTGCCCTTTGCTTTCTTCATCTGAGTAATTATGGCATTGCCAGAGGCAGGTCATATGGGCAGTGGTGCAGAAAGTGGGGAAAAAGAACAATCAGTGTCCTAGTGCTGTAAATTTCTGCAGAAGAAAAAGACTGACTGCAGGACATCATCATGAGCAAGGACAGTCAAGCAGGGGATTGAGGTATTTATTGGTGCTAAAAGCTAGAAAGTTATTCTGTCTGGCAGCTCTGAACTTCTTGTTTTATAATTAAGAGGCCTGATAATCTTCTCATTTGATAACGTGTTCCAACTGTTTAGACTTGAAAGAAAAATACTAGAAGCCATGAGACTTGAACAAAGTCATGAAAGACCAGAGCTCAACAGGAGCCCAGACTTCAGACAGGCAGGGTTTTCTTGTGAAATAAAAAAACAAGCTTTAAAAATGATACTTCAGCTAAGCATTATACTCTTATTATGCTGTCCATAAGTACACTTTATAGGTTTGACAAGAGGACACTTACAAAAATTTAGTCCAGAATGAAAGTAATCCAGATATATCAAGATGAGCAGTATGTTTGAAACTTTTCTCTCAATAGCTCCTTTTAAGACTATGAACTGCCGCATAAATGAGGAAAGACAATACAAGATTTATTCCAATAACGAGTTCCTCTTTATTTCAGGATGGATTTAATTACAGGGCAATCACGTAATGTCACTTCCCCTTAGTATTCCTCCAACTACTGACCATTTTAACCTTATGGGTTTTCCTGAGTCTACTATAGTTTGCCTGTTAGTTATGTCTAATGTATTTCTTTTTCGGGTGCTTTTCCAGTCTCTCTGTGGAACCATGTACTATGCGCAGACACAACATTCTTGTCAAGATGTTCTCCAATGATGCTATGTGTTGTGAGTTACTAACTTTTCCTAGTTTTAAGCCTGGATCTCATTAGTTTAATATTCCCCAATTCTTGGTTAGGCAAAGGCAGTGAAACTTGTCCTGATGAACTTCTGCACTCCACTGAGGATTTTGTAGACTTCTTTCTAACCTACCTTATATTGTCACTTTTCTGAGCTGAAGAGCCCTAAACTATTTAACTCATAAGTTTTAAATTCATACCCGAGATTATCCCACATGCCTTTCTCTTGACCTTTTCCAGTTCTTGTAGATCCTATCTGTGATGAAGACACAGAAGTGCACAAAATAAGCAAGGTGTGGACGAACCATAGATTTCCACAATGCTGAGCTGATGCAAGTGGTTATGTTTTATGATTCATAGTGGTCACTGCTAAGAAACACCATTTTGTATACAAAGCCATTACAGGATTTCCCCATGTGCATTGTTTCACACTTACTGAGATTGAAATTCACCCTCAAACATTCATGCTATCATGCACACCTTTGGGTATATAGCATATACCCTAATTGTCTTCTATAGCATATGCCCTAATTATCTCCTTAGAGAAACACTACTCTAGTGGTTATCAACATAGGCATCATGTTATTTTAAACACTTTGAACTGGAAAAAATTGCAAAAAGAGATTGAGTGACGTTAGGATGACCTCTGTCCCTCTCATGTATCAGCATAGATGTAGCTAAACAGACACTGAACCCAAACCAGAGCATAGTCAGCCTAAGGAATGTTTATCAAGGCACTACCAACTCTGACTGTCCCTGTCCAGTCCCCCAAGGGCTCCTCCTACCCTGCCTAGGGCCCAGGACTCCGTGTCAGGGGTGTCAGCCCCTGCCCCAGCAACTCCACAGCAGGGCCAGTCTCCAGCTCCCCACAGCCCTACCCAGCCATGGGTCCTGCTGAGCCAGACTCACCCACAGGCCCATGTCCCAGCCTGTCCTTGGCCCACCCCTGTACCCAGGGAGGTACCCAGTGCCTGGGGCTGGGGCTGCCCTGATCCTGGCAGGGGTGAGACAGCCCATGGCTACCAGCCCCCTTCAGAAATGCACTGAAATTTTTATTTTATATATATGTATATATATATATATATATATATATTTGGTGCACCTATTGAGCAAGGAGAAGGAGTCCAAGTTAGCCAACATCTCATTCAGGTATTGCTACTTCTAAAATTTATGTGAAGGGGGTATGCCAAAGCCAGCTTCTAAGATATAGATATAGAAAGAACCAAGAAAAATAAAGGTATGAAAAAAAGAAAAAAAATAAACTTCAAAAGCATGGGAAAAATAAGAGAATTAAAAACATACAGAAATTTTTTAAAAAGTCAATAACAATGGGAAATGGATTAATTTTATTTCATAACTTAGTTTCCCTGCCCTCTGCTAAGCTTGGAAGTTTCTCACATGGCAGGTGCAAACAAAGGAAAGAATCTTAAATCGTGATCTTTTTATGTTTGTTTGGTTTGGGATTTTTATTGTTCTTATATACACAAAAATGTCCAAGCACATTTATAGATGATTATATTGCTAAACAAGAATTAAAACAAAATAACAACCCTACCAAACACAAAACCCACCCCTTAAATCTCAAACAGAAGCCTATACATTCATGTCTTCTCAGTAAAATTACATTAACCACAGAGGCAACTAAGTAAGCATGTTGCTCAGGACCCATATTCCCTACGCCAAAGGCAATATAGTCATGAACTCCTCAATAACCTCTAAAATGGCAATCTCCATATACATGTACATGTTTATATGTACATACATGTATGTCAACTCACACCAATTGACCAAGGAGGGTAGAAGTCTTGCTACCTTATGATGCCCCAGTAGGACATGCCCCAGTGTCAAAGAACACTTTAAAAAACAATTTCTTCTCCTCATCTCTAAAAAAACTCTTCAAAACTTCACAGCGTACACCATGGGACTTGAAAGATTGCTGTTGTTGGGTTCATTTAGATATTCCTTTCTCAAGGAATAATCACACTCAAATGGGAATTTTTCCTAATCTGATCTGACTAAAAGCTAGCTGGTAAAATGGCAGAAAGAGGTACCTGAATGAGCAATCCTTCCTCTTCCCTTTTAGACAATGTCAGAAGAGGTATGAAGGGCTATGAAGAGCTGTGTGAGGCTGGAGAGAAGAACATTTTCAGTCAGTTGTGAGCATCTTTTCTCTCTTGCAAAAGGAGCAGTTCAGTATTTTTCAAAACATAGCAGATGATGTCCAAAGTGCAGTTTCTGCCCTTTTGGCTCTGTTTGGTGCCAGTTGCAGATCAGGCACATAGCAGCATATTTTAGGAGGCACTAGGTGCTTGAAGATCAGGTTCAAGATAAAACAGGTTCAAAATCTGCATTAGAGCTAGGACAAGTAATGATTTTCATTGTAAAAATACTTGCATGCTAAAAAAAAAAAAAAAAAGATAAATTTTGAGGAGAGAGATTTCAGTATAACCTCCGAAAATGTTCCTGCCACAGCAAAATGCTGAAAACGGTTCTTGTAGTGAGAAAGCTGGAATTCTGTGGAAGTGGATGGTGAAGGGGCTTGCACAGCAAGGTGGACTCATGCAGAAACATATTCAGTGGACTGCCTTTTAGCACATGTGAGGTGATTTAAAGTAGCAAGTTCATCTCACGACACATATGCACACAGCACAGAGGCTGGTAGCGCAGGGTAGCTTCCAGGCAAATTGATGGAAAGGTTTGGACAGGTTCTATATCACTAAGGCTGGCCTTGTGGGCAGAAAAAGTGCAGATCAATTAAAACCAGTACTGTGAAATGCCACAAAACACTTCAGATGGCTTTTAAAAGGTAGTCCTAGGTCCACTCACATTTATCCTTCTCCAGTAACTGACTCTACTTTAGCAGAATATAGGACATACAAATATTTCACTGTTTATTTTGTGGCTATCCAGCTTCTATCATGAAGAAACTCATGGTGATTAGTGGTATAAAACTTTGCCTTAACCATGTTGTACACAAAGAAAAAAGTCAGATTTTAAAGGCCTTGAGTGTTGCCTTTTACTTAGGCACAGGAACTCAGAAATCACTACAGGCCTGCTCAAGGCAGACCTAGCATGTGATGTCTGAACCAACTGTCCACGATGTCGAAGACAGCCTCATACTGAGCACTGGGTGGAGTGACAGTGCACAAAAGGATACCATATAGCTTTCTCTTGCTTGTGAGGGGGAGCTCATCTGGTGCTGCCAGGTGTTTATTGACTCTTCTCTGCCAGTGAGGCCCAAAGGCATGTAAAAAGCTGTAAATACTACAGAAAAAACTTTGCCTTGTTCTGTCCCCAGCACATATTCTGTAGCAGTTGTCTTTCCAAGCACGTAGGCAGTTCTTGAGTTGTCAGAATGATTAAACCATGACATAGTATATGCAAACAAGCTGGAGAAGGATATTTCAGAGTGGAGTCCCAAACACAGGACTGCACATCAACCTGCCATAACCTCTTTCCAGCGTACTTGGTCCTTCTCCCATCCTCAAGCCTTGCTTTCATTTTTTTTTTCCTTTTTCTTTCTGTTTATCTACTTGAAAGAAGTACATTTTTGACATCTGGCCATAGGAACAGGGTTTTTGCTAGTTTCTGCTGACACAGAATCACTCCAGTCTGTGGTTGAATTCTTGTATATCCAGCTGAAAATCTGGTTAATAATCAATACTATCACCATAAGAAAGGTAAAGTCGCTGCCTGTACACTATATAAAGCTAAATTCTCTGCTGAGGGGGATGGTGCTTCTGTCTATAGCCTGTAGGGAATTGGTGAAAATGACATGTTAATACCAATCGCATAAGAGCAGCAGCATTGTTACTGTAGTAGGTCAATGTGAAAAATATCTGTTTTCTTAAATCAACTGCTCCCCACTGTCCTGAGAAATTAATAACTTCAACAAATGAAAATATCCATTCAGAAGCTGAAGTAGTCTTAAACTAGTAGCTCTTGCTTTCCTTTCATTGTATGAGATATTTTGGTGTTTAAAATTGAAATAAGTCAACGTAACCTTTTCAAAGGTTACTGTGGTTTGGTTCTGATAAACAGTTGGGCGACTGTTGTGGTAAATTCACAGCGGGTATGCATTATGCATTAATGGTAGAATGACAAGCCATTTTTCTCATTCTTATGTAGAAATACAAGAGAGTAAGCAGTACATTAAAAAAAAAAAAAACAAAAAACAAAAAATTCAACAAAACAAACAGAAAACCAAGCCCACAAATAAAAAACTCAGCGCATTGCTTATAAAAATAACTCACCCCAAATCCAACTTCAGTGTATGCTGTAGTTCATATACAGTAATATTTCACATTCACCGAGAATCACAAGCCTTTGGTTAAACACTGAGGTCATACAACCTGGAATTATTTTTTGTTCTAAACTTATCCCTTGCTTTCATGCAGTAGGACTAATTCCAGGCCAACACTTATTAATCAATGCTGGATTTGCTTCAGTGCCTTCTTGAATAAACTCTGTTCCTCCAATGCTTCCATTTCTTAGCAGAAAATACTGAAGTACAATACAAGTGTGGCTTGAGGTCTGTCACTGGAGCAAGGTATTTTGAGGGTAGCTATTCAAAAAGAAATGTTTTCTGTGTCTACTCATGGATCTCATGCCTTTCTTCTAGGGATCTCTAAGGCTAAAAAACACTCTCTCGCCTTTGCAAATAGACCTTTACTCCCTCTAGCCCATCCATAGGTCCACTTGACATCGACCTGGCTGACATGGTTCTTCCAGAGAATAAGCTTTCCCTTCTGGTTTCCAAACTGTCGCTGAGCAGGACCTTAGGGCGAAACACTTCCATGAATTTCTGGTAAAATTCTTTGCATGCAAAATAATAAATGAAGGGATCTATGCAGTTGTTCAGGCAACTGAAGCATAAGGTGAGCTTGTAGGCAGGGTACAAACTCCTGCCATAAAACAGGCGGATGATCATGTGCACAAGTAGGATAAAGTTATTGGGGGCAAAGCAGGTGACAAATACCAGAAGGACTATTATCGCCAGGTATATGGATCTAGTCTTCTGCCTGTTACCATATCTGCTCGATGTCTGAATAAGCTTCCGAATTATGCCAATATAGCACCCAACTGTTAAAACAAAAGGGATGAGGAAGAGCACAACAAATAGTGTGAGGAGAAAGGCTACCCAGGCTGCAAAGTTGGGCAGCATATCCCACTTGAGGACATCGAAACAGGTTATAATCCCCAATTCTTTCACTTCGTAGGTCAGATCCGTGCTTTCTAGCGGGTAGAAGGCCAGTAACAAGAACATCCACATACCTAGGCAGGCAGCCAGGGCATATCTTTTTCTTCTCCACTTAATCAACTTCATGGGATATACCACACCCATGTACCGCTCAATGCTGATGCAGGTCATGGTCAGTATCGAAGAATACATGTTGGAGTAGAACATCACAGTCACAAGGCTGCAAAGAGTCTTGCCAAAGGTCCAGTGATTGCTTTGGATGTGATAAGAAATCTGGAAGGGAAAGCAGCTGGCGAGCATGAGATCCGTGATGCTTAGGTTGATCATGAAGATAACTGAAGGTGTTTTGGGTTTGATGTGCCAGCAGAGTACCCAAAGGGAGAACAAGTTGCCAGGGATGCTGATCAAAGCCACCAGTGTATACACAACTGGAAGGGTGATGGAGATAGCTTTATTCTGGAGCATTGCCAGTGTTTCACTGTCCAGGTGGGATCCGTTTTTAACCATTATTCACAAGGTGGATGTTGATCCCTATAAACCCACTGGATCATATCATGAACACTTGGCTTAGAAACCTAGAGGACAAATGTCAAGAGAGAAAAGAAATGTCAAAACAGAAATTAAGAATGTACTTCTATTAATCAAACTACAAAAAAAACACCAAAATCCCTGTGTAGTTTGACAGATTATATATTTTTATATTTCTTTCTTTTAAATTTTGTTCTTGTCAGTGGAGCTATATCAAGAATGAAACTAATCTTCAGTTTTCAGGGGAACTTGAAAAATGGCTCACTGACACAAAGCTCTTGGAAAAAAACCTTAATACTTCTATTTCAACTCTTTTATCTATGACTTACTATAGTAAATACATATTCATGAACTTTATTTCCTCAAAAATCCTTCCCAAGTGGCACCCCTTTGTGCCTAACAACCCTAAAATTTCTCAAAACAGATTTTTTTTATACGAAAGTACCTACAGAGCTCTATTAATAAGCCTTTGTAAGTGAAAGATATTTGTTCTCGCAGGATAAGGGATCTCAACCCTAGATACTGTTCCAATAGAAATTGCATGTACTTGGGAGGTAGGAGTAGGTGAAAATTTCCATGAAGTCTGTCACACTGGTCATAAAGCTATTGAATACCTCTTATGTTCAGGTTTGGATTAGTGCTGATCAGAAATCTATTTTGTTCTAAACTTGCTTTTTCTGCAGTAATGAAAACTGTGTCATGGCCTGGCTAAAGGCCTTTTTATGCCTTTGTGGAGTACTATGATCAGTAAAACACAAGTGCCTCTCAAATTTAGGCACCCTTTGAACAGGGCTTGAAAGGCACCAGACTTTGTGTTCAAGTGCCTACAAGAGCTCTCCAAAAAGGGTACCCCCCCTTGGCGTAGTCTCCAGTCTGCATAGTAAGGAAGATGTCTATCAGAAGGAGCAAAATAAGAATGATGCAATGGTTCGCTAGTGTCTTCTGCAGGGCATACAGAGTAAACAAGACTTGTTGCAAGTCACTCTTGAGAGCAAGAGGCCTCTTCAGGAGATGCGTAGTGCAGAAAATTCTTTTTCAAACTTTGTCTTTCCTTTTGCCAAATCCTTCTGGGGCTCTAATTCTGAATTCCTTGTTCATGATTACTGGGCTAGCAAAATCCCTGCTCTGAGTCACCCTTATTTGTGATGCTTTGCTTTTAAATGCTGCTGGAACCACAAGCTGCTGGAACCACGATGTCGCATTAACGTACTTTACCTCTCCCATTATTGCATCTATTTGGGTTTAGTTAATACTGTATTTATATTTTCATCTTGTTCAGGGTAATTTTATGTTCTTCCCCCACTACAACCACGTCTCTGTTTGCATCTTGTGGTTTAACTTAAAAATGTCATAAATCAAACGAGAAAGTAATTTTTATGAGTTTTAGATTCTCCTTACATTTTATGAGTTGCTTCCTTTCAATTTCAGATTTTCAATTCAAATCAGTGGAGCTTGCATGGATTCTAAAAAATCATGGACTGTAAAAAATAAAGTCTCAGCTAAGGTTTCAAATCCATAATATGTAAAAATATAGTCTTATTACATAAATATCCCTGTTAGAAAGATATGCTTTTGCTTTTATGTTTGAGAAAGCTATATTTAAACTACAACAAATGGATATACAGGTAAACTGAAACAAAAACTCAGTGAGGATTCTTCAAGTGAGGAGATCCTGTCTTACTACTATTTACATCAGTCCGCAAGCTTCTGAGATACAAAGAGAAATGTTAAGCTCTTCCGCTGGCCTCATTTCTGAAACATTTAGTGGTTGGATGTATTTTAGTTTTATATTAGTACTAAGAGCACCTACAGCCTCTGAAGTATTGCTTGCTAAATCCAGGTAGGATTTTTTCACTTGTCTTCTCACTGGCTCATGGCACTCTGCACAGAAATCTCACTTACTTAGAAATTCAGTAGCACAGGTTTTCATCCAAGCTGTAACTGTAAGCGAAGGTGACAGCTGCTTGGTGCCTTTTTGACAGAAACAGTAATTCCTTTCTCTGTAATTGACAAAAGATGACAAAACACTAAAGGTTATACCAAACATCAAGCAGTAAAAAATCAGAAGAGTATTATTTCTTTGCCATGGAACAGTAGCAATAAAGATGTGTCTACTTCTGTTTTAGGGGACTACTAAATTAAACTGATGTGTTTCCTCTCTTGCATCTATTCTTTTCCTGTTGTTGGTCAAGTGCACATGTGAGAAAGACTGAAAAGCCTGTGAGCTTAGTGAAAACCAGAATTACTGTTTTATAAAAAATTTTATAATTTGTTTTGTGATTTGAGATGGAATAATAAGCCTCAGAACTTCTCATGCAGCAGACAGCCATCCAAAACTTATTCTGCTTCATAGTTTTTGGTTCACTACTTGTCAAAGCACTATTGTGTAGAAGAAAAAAAAAATCAAAAATTCATAAATTCTTTGATATAGTTACACTTTTGGAAACTCACCCTTCCAGCTGAAGGCTATGGGATGGCTTGTTTCAGATTAAAGGAAAAAACCTGCAAACTGAAATGCAATTTCAACTGAATTGCAAACAGGTTCAGAATGAAGCACAATGAAAGCACAGATTTTATTGTAAGCATTTAGAGAAATAATATCAACAGTTTTTAATGAATGCAAATGTGGCTGAAGAATATATTTTGTCTCTCAAAAGACTGCATTTTTGTTTTTATTTTTTAATAAATTTTCTACGTGTTCAGTTTTATATTATTACAAAGCAGTAAAAAAAGCAAAAGTGTGAGGCTAGTTTATGTCTACCTTAATGTAGCTAACACTGGAGAAAACTCAGTGACCTTCAGTGTGTATTGCTCCTGCTGGGGATTCAGCTCCTTCAGGACTGTCTGAATTGCTAGTGAGATGAAACAATATTAGACAAGAACAAACAACAGACACTTAATTTCTATTGTAGACTGAGTATGAGGAGAAGAAGGGACCCGGAAGGAAAGGAGCCAGGAGGCAGTCATCTTGAATTGTAGGAAAAGTGACAAACGCTTTGATACCTAGATAGAGTAAGGGGTTTAATATCAGAGACAAGAAGAAAAAGTGCCCTTCTGTAACACATTTCAGTTATTGTTCCTAAATCATCATTGATGCAATTCAGAGAAGCACTTCTGCAGATGCTTGTTCACCAAACTGAGGAATGTAAATGAGTGCATCTCTGACTGCATGTTCCTTAAACTGAACAGGGGCTTTACCGAAAGAGGCTGCAGATTTTTTTCTGGATGGTTCTTTCTCACCCTTGCAATAAACTTTCAGGCAAATTTTAGCTTGTGGGGTTACATCTCTAAAAGCCAAGGGTTTGGTTCCCTCAGTCAAGATCTGAACCCAAGTCTTCTAAGAAACTTCTTTGTATTTGGCCTTCCATGTTCTTTTTGCCAATTTCTTTTTTTCTGTTTCTGCTGTTTTGTTCTGAGTATATTGCAAAGATCAGAAACTGTTGCTGAGCCCATAGTTATGTTACCACAAGGCGTTATTTCATGCTAGTCTTTAGCTTCTCTTCTTTTAAGAATAAATACATCTGGGAAATGAGACTTTTACACTCTGTGCACTTATGCGTACAAGTACTTTGAGCAAACAAAACAAATCTGAAAACATCTTACTAGCTGCAGTATTCTTGACCTATGACATTTCGCTTTAGAAAAATAAACTGTTCTCTATTTCTTATTTTTCACCAAATATTATTCAGATAAATAGCATAGAAAACAATATGTATGCCTTCACTGCAAAATATGGCACATTTTTTACAATGAAAGAGCTACATTCTAATCACTGTATTAATCAAAAACTCTTGTGGAGACAAACTTCAGTCTTTCTCTTAGTACACATAGTCAAAGTAAGCCTTATGGTGGTTGTAGCTCTGACCTCAAATAGTTAGGGCAAGGCAAAACAAGAGTGTATTCTCTCCACAAGGATTTCACATTGAGAGGTAAAAAACCTCTTATCAGTAAGAAAAATGTAGAAGCATTACCATCTTTAGTGTAGTGGAGGAGTACCTGTCTGTTGAGCTTGTTAGCTATATCAATCTAGATAAAAGCATCTTTATCAAAAGAGAAGAAAAGTAATCCTATCTTTTCTGCCTTCTTAGAGAGTGCTTCTCTTCTCCAGCCTGAGACTGCAAGTAAGCAGTTTCCAAGATTCAACAAGAAAGACTTAGTGTGAAATCTAAATGTACAGGTGAGAGGCAAAGAAACACCACAAGGAAATGCTGTACTCTTTCTTCAGAAGTAGCTAAGTAGTAAAACTAACTGTAAATATCTTCCTTCACATTTCTTATGTCTGTCCTGGACTATGCAGTTTTGCTGATGGTTGATATTTAGTTTACTTGAAACTTCACCTTTGCTACCCATAAATTAGCAAAGTGAGGATTCTGTTCCGGTGTTAGTAATGTTCACCCTAATTTAGATAAGGTTTGCATAAAACCAGCCACTATCATCTGTATAATAACCCAGTTCAGACTGAAACTAGTCGCTGTGGTCTTTAAAAAGTTCATTTCTGCAGCAGTCAGGTTTATGGAAATAGTATGGCTGTGGGCCAGTATTGACAAAAAGCTCTCCTCATCTGAAGAGTGATTCTGTGATAGTTACAGTACAAAATGGAGCGGTTTGCAGTTTCCTTTATTGGTGTGCAAGATAGTCAGCATTCTGTGAGCAAAACCTTAGGTCAATTGAAACTCAACTTGTGTAGTTCCACTGATAGGTTGTCTAGGCTGGTTTAAATTTCAGGCAGAGTAAGCATCCTCAACTGGATTTAAAGAGGTTCCAGTTGATGGGGTAATAGCTAGAATATTATATATATGTTAGACTTTCCTAGTAAGCTTAATTTTTCCAAACCTGATATTTTTAAAAGGATTAGCAAAGCTATGGCAACACCTAAGAATGCAACAGAACAGTTCAGGAATTCATTCTGCACAACTTATACTTTGCAGTTATTGCCCATGTGCATGCTCTTATCTCCCAGCATCACAAGGTAACTTGCCCCTTGGTGAGCTAATGCTAACTTGCACTTTTCATCGAGGAAGAACATGCATGCAAGCAGTTACTAAAATATTGCTGATGCCTGGTGGGGACCCTTGACTTCATTAGACTACAATTTTTGTCCTATGGTGCATGGCCATAAAGAACCAGCTCTTGCAAAGCTCCTTTTAACCACTCTAGCAGACATCCTGGTACTGTGGAGTTATCCCGTGCCAGAGGGCCCTACTACCCTTGAGTTATGGGAAGATGGTGAAGATTTGTTTTTATAGAACTTTGACTGCAAAAAGTGCTCGATCAAGTCTAAATTTAAATAACACATGAACTGATTTCCTTTATAATTTTAAATCTTTCAGATATTGTCTACATCCAGAATTGACAGACAATGGTTTCTGGTCTGCATCTACTTCTACAAGTAATTGTCTCACATAACTGTTGTGAAAGTCAGAGGGAAGAGTATAGTCAGTCATTTCCCTTCTGTCCTCAATTGTTGGCACAAGGTGTTTGTGATAGACAATAGGGCAGATTCCCAGCAGAGAATCCCCTCAGTCTTCAGAAAGCTTGATGGTCTTGTATTTGAATCTGTATGGTCTGGTTGGCATTTTACAGCACACATATATCTATATATATTCTATTTAAAATCTGCATTTTCTATTTTTCATCTCTCTTTTCTGTGAAAGCCTTTTTTGAATGTTTCCTCTCCTGTTCAGTCGACAAAGGCACAAAGGAATTGAGGTAAAGCTGCATGCCTATTTTTGAAGATTGCCTTTATAGATTAAAAAATAAAAAAGGATATGGCAGTCTGTAGCTGTTGATCGAGTTAACATGATGGAGTCTACAAACAGGACAGTCAAACAAGTTTTGCAAGTGTAGCTGAAGGGATAATTTGGCATGGTATTTTGGAAATGTTTGAGCAAAGAATATAGGATAATTCTAAAATTCACGTAACGTACAGGGGCCAGAAATTGTAAACCATATTGTTAGGGATGAAATAAAGAACTTGGCTGAGCATGCAGGCCATCTTCAGGTAGGTCTTCTTCCACTACTTCCACTGATTGGTCTCAGTATGTATAAAATCTCTTTACTACCTTAGAGATAAGTAGACCTGTCCCCAAAAGCCCATGTTGGATACGTAGCAACTAGTGACTTGTAAATACAGGCTGAATTGTTGTTTGTTTTGTTAAGTAAGATCTATATGCATATGCAACCTTTTTTACCAAAGCAGTAGCGTTAGGCAGCAGGATTTGGGTATAACTAGAGACTTTCTTGCCTATTCTTTGCTACAGGTGTGTATTTAGCATCCATAAAAATGTAAGTGTCTATTTTAGGGTGAGTTGGAAAGTGTGGATGCCACTGACTGAACTGGGCAGTTCTCCAGTGACTGTAACAGGCTCATATGTAGTCACTTCCATTGTAAATGCAGGTGTTTGAAGCTGAATCCATCCCATTTTAAATATCCCGTTGATTCAGATCCTGGTTTCCTGGAGGCCTGTAATTGCCTGGATTGTGTCAAAATCTGAACTAGTCCACTAAAACAAAATTGTCCCCTTTCACACTTGGACCACTGCCACTTTGAAACAACCAGGCCAGGTTCCGTGTGAAAATGAATTGGCACATAATAGGAACAAACGCACAATTTTACCTGTGCTCATCTTCTACAATAAGTTTTCTGTGATTGTGAAATTCTTTGTGTAGCAAAGATTCCACAGCTAGGAAGCAGTATAAAAATTATTGGGCCTTCTGTTGGTCATACTGCTGTACGTGCTTGGCACATATTATTTAGGCTTTATTGAAAGCCCAACTATAGGACTGACTGCTCTGCTCTCTCCACAAGTCTCATGCAATGTATTGGCAGTGAACTCCGGGTAGACTGGGTGTTCTCCTGGCTCACACATCAGTTAGAAGTGATTCTCACGTCAGCAGTAGCGAAGATAGATAGTCTTGGCTGAAAAATACATGAGACCAGGGACGCTATAGGAGCTAAATTGACATGCACTTGGCAGCTTTCTTGCATATCTGATTCTCTGGTCCTGAAAGGGCAAGAAGAGCTAGATGTGCAGAAAGAATGAGCCTTGTTTCCTGTCAAACTGTGCCTCTTACTGGAAGGCTTTGATACAAAAATGGGCTACCGGAAGCTATTTTGTGTGACCAGGACTGATACAGTATCCACTCATTTTAAAAGGTAAAAAAAGAAAGACCCAGGGAACTATAGGTCAGTCTCACCCCAGTGCCCAGCAGCATCACGGACCTCCTGGAAACCATACTAAGGCACATGGGAAATATAAGGTGGTTGGTGACAGCCGGCATGGCTTCACTAAGGGCAAATTGTGCCTGACCAATTTGATGGCCTTCTATGATGGGGCCACAGTGTTGGTGGATAAGGGAAGAACAACTCATGTCATCTATCTGGACTTGTGCAAAATATTTTACACTGTCCCACATGACATTCATGTCTCTAAACTGGAGAGACATCAATTTGATGGATGGACCACTTGGTGGATAAAGAACTGGCTGGATGGCTGCATGCAAAGAGTTGTGGTTAACGATTCAATGTCCAACGGGAGACTGGCAAAAAATGGTGCTCCTCAGGGACACAGGATTGGTGTTGGGACCAATCCTGTTCAACATCTTTGTCGATGACATGGACAGTGAGATGGAGTGCGCCCTCAGCAAGTTTGTCAATGACACCAAGCTGTGTGGTTTGATTGATACCCTGGAGGGAATGAATGCCATCCAGAGGGACCTTGATATGCTTGAGGGGTGGTCTAATGCCAGCTTCATGAAGTTCAACAATGCCAAGTGCAAGGTCCTGCATCTGGGTCGGAGCAATCCCAAGCACAAATACAGGCTGGGCAGGGAATGGATTGAGAGCACCCCT